GCCGGGGCTCACCGGGTCTGCCCCGGCAGCATCGGTGAGAACATCCAGCTGCTGGTGGACCGGCCTGATGGCACCTACTGCTTCCGCCTGCACCGCGACCGCGTCTACTACCTGAGGTGAGGGGGGCCGGGCCGGGCCGCGGTGGGCAGGACCTGCGGGGGGCTCCGGTGTCAGCCTGCGCGGGGCTGCCGGCCTGGGAGCCGCTCCAGCTCTGTCCCCCCTGCTCTCCACAGCGAGAAGCTGCTGAAGGTGGCTACGAGCATCCCCCGGGACAACCTAGTGTCACTGGGCACCTGCTTCGGGAAGTTCACCAAGACGCAGAAGTTCCGGCTCAGCATCACAGCTCTGGACTTCCTCGCACCCTATGCCAAGGTGGGACATAGCTCCTCTATCCTGCCCCCTTCCAGGCTGTCCAGCCCTTCACCACTCTGAGTCTCTCTTGCAGTACAAGGTATGGGTGAAGCCTGGCTCTGAGCAGTCCTTCCTCTACGGCAACCATGTCCTGAAGTCGGGCCTGGGCCGCATCACGGAGAACACAGCCCAGTACCAGGGTGTGGTGGTGTACTCCATGGCCGACGTCCCACTGGTGAGTGGCTGGTACAGCTCCTGTGCTTTCAAGGGCTGGGGCCTGAGAAAAACTCTTCTCTCACCTCCCTTTCATCCCCCAGGGCTTTGGGGTGGCCGCCAAGTCTACCCAGGAGTGCCGGAAGGTTGACCCCATGGCCATCGTGGTGTTCCACCAGGCTGATGTCGGAGAGTATGTGCGGAATGAGGACACACTCACCTAAGGGATCTCAAACATTTCTGGCCAGAATGGACTTTGTCCTGCACCGGTGGTGCAGCAGTGGCAGCTCAGGGAGCCCACCCCGAGCAGGGCAGAGGGGCTGGGAGCCACCAGCAGGCAGCCCTGCACCCCGGGGGAGGCTGCTGCCAATACAAGGAGGAGCTCTCCCCACACCAGCCCTGCCCCTGCTATCACATAAAGCCTGCTTCTTCGCCCAGAATGCCTGTTGTCTAGTGTGGAGCCTTGTGGGGGTGGGGGGGCAGCCCTCGCCCCCACTGCGTGCCTCTGTCTGTTTGGGTCAGTGCCTCAGACAGTGCAACACACCGGGGTGAGACTCCAGAGGGGAGAAGCACCGCATTCGGTTTGGCAGATGAGGCTGGGGGGAGGCTCGCAGCCTGTGGGTGCACTGTCGGAGGCTGGCAGGTGCGCACTTGGGAGGGCAGCTGCCTGCAAGGCAGGTCTTGCTTTGCCTGGGCTTACAGAGGATGGATGGATGGCAAGCAGCAGGCTGTGATCGCTCCACGGAGCGTGTGCCAGAGGTTCCTTTATTGTGTGTCTGGTAGAAAAGGCATGTTGGGTCACTAAAGACAGGCAGAGGTGTAACAAACTGATCCAGCACACAAAGCTCTGGCGATCGCGTCAGACTTTTCTTCTGTCAGGGTGATTTCAGCCGAGGCAGGGCTAGAGCCGGAGGCAGGAGTGGGATGAACTCTCCTTCCTCCTCCTTGAAGCAGGATCCGGCCTTCCCTCCTGCTCTGCAAAGGGGCAGAGTGGCAGCTCGGTTACCAAGTGCTGCAGGCAGCATCAGGCTGGGCTCTGGTCCTGCCCGCGGTTCCGGCTGCTGCTAGCACTTCTGCCTGCTGGAGGTTTGCAGTTTGAAAAGGCGCTTCAAGAAGTAGAGCTGCAGGACCCCCGAGAGGACAATGACACAGCTCTGAGCCATAGACCACCAGTTGACATAGTTGTAGTTGGACTCCAGGAGGAAGGAGTCGGACCCTTTCCGCATCCGGGCAAAGTTATAGAACCGCCACATGTGGAAGATGTGAAGCTGCAGCTTCCGGATGCTGACCTGCAGGAGAGGCAGGCGCTTGGCAGCAGGGCTGCAGCAGAGCTTGGGGCTGGCAGAGCCGCTCCAAGAACTGCCCGCTGGGCTGAGCATTAAATTAAGCTGCAAACACCCTTCTTGGTTCCCTTGGGAGGACATTCCCATCCCCACTGCATTGGAGAACCCTGTGGTCACCTTGACACTCACCTCGATTGCCTCCAGGGTGTTGTTCAGCTCTTTCTTCTCTTCCGGCTGCTTGTTTTCCACATTGAAGCCTTCATAGTAGACACCAAAGTTGAGATACACCTGCATGAAGCCAAAGTGGTTTTCCTGGTTGTCCAGGCATAACTGGTAGAAACCTGCAGAGAGAAATGGGTATTATTGTTCCCTGAGTAGAAGAGCTGTTGCCAGGTCAACCCGTGCCCAGTGCTCAACCCTCCCCCTCGCCATTAGGGAGCAAGGCATGATCAGACCGCTCAACGCTCTGAGAAGCGCTGGCTGTCTGGGCAGGCGTGGAGGTGCTGGTGGGCCAGGCAGGGACTGGGGCAGCAGGGACCTGTCTCCTTGGTGAGGAAGTTGATCTGTCCTCGCACGTGCTGGGAAACGCCAAGCTGGAAGCCGTTGGGATCACTCGCTGTGGCCAGGATGTTCCTGTTGTTGGCGATCCCTGTTGCCCGCTGGACCTGGAGGCAGGAAACACCCGAGGGGCATTTGTGGACCTGACTCTGCGCCTGGTAAACAGGTGGGAGCCCACAGGAGCCCTCGTGCACAGGGCAGGGACCCACTTCTACTGGGGGTTGGTTTTGGGTCCCGTGGGGAGCTGCCCCCTGCGTTACTATGAGCTGAGGCCAGGAACAGCTTCCAGCGAGCTGCCAGCTACACGTAAAAGAAAAGCCCACAACCCGCTGCCTTGGGTAATAAACGCTGCAGTTCCCAATGCCTGCTTACGGTGCTGCAGGTGTTCACAGACCTCTGTCTCCCACCCCACGGGCCCATCCTGGCTTCTTGCTGCCTGGATCAGGTGCTGCTGGCCACTGGAGCATTAGGAGGTGGAGCTGTTCTGAGCCCCAGAGCGGTGCCGTGTTCCTGTGGGGCTGCTCTGCTGAGCGCAGAGCCAGGGGGAAGCTGCCAGTGCCAGGCACAGCCGTGCCCCAGCTCTCCTTCAACCAGCCTAGTGTAAACAGGAGATAAAAGGGCTGCAGTTTCCCTTGTGAGAAGGGGACAGAGCGCAGGGACAAGCAGATAGGGCTGTGCCCGAGACCTTCAGCGTGCCTTCAAGCTGCGGCTCAGAGCCGAGGGCTGTGGAACAGCCTCCAGTGTGCCCAGCAAAGGGTAGAGCTCCCTGCAGTGCCGGGAGACCCCCAGCTCTCTGTGAGCGACCTCTGGATGCTCAGGCATGATGTCCGGAGCTCTCAGCACTGCCTTACAGTTTTAAAACATAGTTATAAAAATAAATAGGATTGATGATGCCTAAGAAAGCACGGTCCCCACTTAGTCATCTAAGTGACTGCAACCATTCCCTGTCCCAACCAAGGGCCCTTCCCTCACAAGGCAAACCACCTCCAGCCCCCGGGGCAGTGGGTCTGGAGTTCAGCCAGCACATGGTCTTCATCCTACAGCGTCTCCTTCCACATCAAGCCTGGTCGCAAGACTCAGGCGATGGAGGATTGCCTGCTGCAGGACCTGCTGTACACTCGGAGGAGCCAGCGGGCACCAGCAGTGCTGCCACGCAGTCTGATCCAGCACCGTCATTCCCCAATCCCATCAGCAGCTGTACCATGCTGACAGCTTCCCAGGACGCGTCCCGCAGCACTCACCTCGTAGCTGAAGAAGAAGTTGCCGCTCTGGTGTGCAAACTGCCAGAAGCACTCTACGCTGCCAGCGGGGATGACGATGGCAAAGTCGTAGCGATCTGCCCCACGGAAGAGGGGCTCCTGGCCGGACCCGCTCAGGGGCTCCGTCTTGGGGCAGCCGGCGAGGCCCAGCAGCAGTGCCAGGAGCACCAGCAGCAGCATCCTGCTTCCCAGCCTCCAGCACTCCCTCCTGCCGGGGCAGGGCAGGAGCAGGGACCCGAGGTGGCAGGGGTAATCATTAACTGCTCCGCAGCAGCACTCGGCAGCGCTGGGGCTGGTGGCAGGAGGAGCGCGGCATACGCTCGGCTCCTCAAGGTGATCTCAGTGCAGAGCAGGAGCTAGTCTGGCTCATCCATGTTAGAGCTCACCCAGCTGAGCCTGCTCTGAAGAAGCACCAAGGTCATCAGCAGCACCTCCCCGGTGCACAGAGCCGGTCCCCAGCCAGCCCTGTTACCCTCGCTGACCAATGCTCTGCCAGTCTGTGTCTTCTGAACAAGCTAATTAAGCAGGAAAAGTGTTTTACTCCAAGAAAAAAACTTCCAATTTCTTAAGAGTAAAGCCCTGGGCTGCAACACCCTCCCCGCACATCCTGGGGCAAGAGCCTGACACAGAGAAGGGAAGGGGAATGGGCTCAGACCCACACAGCACAAATGCATCTCCTTCCACCTGGGCACAGTACCAGCATGACCAACGGGCACTGCCTCACACTGGCACTTACTGATCCAGCTTGCAGCTCACATCAAGCCCCTCCGCCCCAGCATGGGCCTCTGCAAGCGCAGGGTGCTCCTCTCTACCCAGGGCTGCTCCCACCCCAGGGAAATGCTTTTATAAGCAGAAGGGGAGGGAAAGGCACAGCCACAGCCAGGTGACGAGGGAAGGCTCGTTCCAGCAGCTGCTGCTGAAGGACAGAGGGGAAGCAGGTGTTTCCAAACAGACTTCTCCCCAGCCCCGGCTCTATGGGAATGCAGACGAGAGGCTGCTTTTAAAAAATGCCCCCATGCCTCCCCTGCCCTTTGACTTCAACAGAAATTAGTCCAGAAGCTTCTGCTTCATGCCTATGCCAATGCAGCAGCACTTCATACCTTCAGGGCATCGCTGTTCCACCCCAAACAGCTGCCAACACAACACCCCCAGCCCTGGCCGGCTCAGGAGGTGGATGGGGAGCCCCACATTCCTGGGGTGGTGCGTGCCCCACCAGGGCAGCAAGCAAGCAGTGCCCCAAACTGCTGTGTTTCCATCCATGAAGTACAAGTTCACGCTTATTACAACCCTCGATATCCAACAAGACAGGAACTTTATTTTACAGAAAACCGCTTAGACATGAACTCCAGCTTTGGCACCTGAAAGCAGAAAACAGACAGCGCCCTCAGAGCTCACACGCTTGCAGGGATTGCACACGGGAAGAGGATGTGACCAGGAAGAAGTGCCAGTAAGACAAGACCAAAATCAGTAAGCACTGGAACTTTTAACATGGGAGCAACCAACATTTAAGTACTGAAAAAAAAAAAAAAGTATTTTTTGAAGTTTCAAAGCTGGGATGGAGAAATTGCCAGTTGCAGACTAGCCATGTACAAAGCAGAAAGAAATGGGAAAAAAACCAAACCCAACATCTAAGCAGATTACCTTGCCTAAATCTCTTCTTTTCCCCAGAAGCTCTGGGACTATGTGCTGCCTCTCTCCCACAAGGGACTGAGAGCAAACAAAAGAAACAAGGGATTCACAGTTTAGACAATTAAAACACATTAAAATAGCCACTGACAGGATTATCCTGCCATTTGACAGCCCCTGAGCAGAGAAAACTGTCACTTCAGCAGCCCATAAGGTTGGGATTCATTCTACAAAGGCTGCAGCTGTCAGGTGGAAAAGGAAGTTCCAATCCAGACTGTTTCCAAGCTTGTGCAATCAAGCTGCACAGCTTCTGCCGACTGCAGAAGCCCTAGACCTCGCAGCTGCAACTCGAGACACAAGGCTCCTCGGTTCTTGTCAGACATGGCTACCATCTGCTGCAGCAGTCTTGGGTACCACGAGCCAGAGGGGCTCACCATGCCGGCCCCAACACACATCAGGGGTGAGCACAGCAGCCTCCCCACTACTATTGCTCTGGTCCATCTTTCAAAAGAAAAATAAGGTTTTTGCACTGAAGGTCTCATGGTTCCCAACTTTAGAGGATTCCCAGCTTCTTCATGGTCCGCCAGCGATCCTTGATCATCACTGCTGTGCGGTTCCGGAAGGGGTATTTCTGGCAGATAGCCTTCCATCTCCCTTCTCCAAACTTCTTCACACCCTCTTTGATCCACTCGCTCTCCTGTATTGTCCATTTCTACAAAAGAGCAGGTAAGCAGTGCTCTGTGAGTACAAAGTGCTGTTTCAGGGAGGAGCTGCATCTGGCAGAGAACTGCGCTGTAGCTCCTTCCTAGCATGTTAGCTTCCCTTTATTGTCTGTGCTAGTAACATGGAGGAAAGACACAGATGTCCTGTCAATAGCACACACAACACTCAATAATCACTTCACCGTAGATGTGCTCTCATAACTGTTACAAGTAAGAGAAGTTCTCAGCTCCAGCACAAGCTCATGAGTAGTTCTGCTTCCCAAGGCACAATACTGATCATATAAAAGAGGAGTTACCTTTTGATGCACCAGAAAGCATCAGAAAGTACTCACTGCCTACGCCTGGCCAACAGCAGACAAGTAGAACGTTAAAAAAAAAAAAAACAAACCCCAATCTGCAAGTTCAGGTGTGCAGATCCCTTGAATTTTTGTACTGGAGGCAAAACGCGAAATAACTGAAGAAAGCAAAGTGCAATGTGGTGTACACCAGCACAAGAGCCAGCAGCTCTCCTCCTACAAGTAAGGGTAAAAGAGTTCCTACTAGCACCAAACTTGTTACCTTTTCCCAGGTAACAGCTGCCATATGTGCGTCCTTCACCCAAACAAGACACTGAACTTCTCCAGTGCATGGGAAACTCAGCAAACCTAGTTCTGAACCATGTGCATCAAAGAAAAGGGACATCATGCACATACCCAGTGCCTGGCATGTGGGAGGCGCACAGCTTCAGCCAACTACCAGATGGGGCTGTTTGGTACAGAGAAACTCCAGCCAGCTCTGCAAATGCAAAGACCTGCACAACTCAGATCAAGCCTGGATATTGCAAGCACCGGCCTCAGGAAGCATCACTTTCCAACCCAGCCTCCAGTGCTTCATTTAAAGCACAGTGGCAGCTCGCCCTGCTGTAGTGAACTGCAAGTTACTGAGGAAGCGGTCTCAGCAGCAGTCCTCACCAGTGTATTGCCAATTGTTCAATAGCTTGCTCTTCTATATGGACACCTCCTGATTTCAGGCCTTACTGAAACGATTTAAGGGCTCTACATTACCTGTTTCTTGGAACCAAAGACTGTAGTGTTGTGGCTGTTTGTCCCAAGTGATGCTGAAAAACAAGGCAAGAGGATTACATTTCACCATAAGTCAGGAGGTACAGACCTCCTTGAGAGACTGCCTTGGGCTTAACTGCTGAACTGTGCAGTCAGCCTACGACGAGAACGTCCCATGACAGACAAAGAAACCAAATTCCTTTATCCCTCCCTTTTCTGCAGCTATAGCAAGCACAGCCTTTCTATTTCAAGCCCCAGTTGCTTCATGTGAAAGCTTTCCAGCAAGATCTGTTTTGTTTTAAACTAGCCAATATGTCAAGAACAGAGGCATCCATCCAGGATGTATGTTGAGGCTGGAATCAGACATCCATTGTCCATTCCTTTTCACCAGCTAAGCTGCGTATCTAGCTGCAAAGAGAACTGGACTGGAAAACTCATCTGGGGTAAACTTAACCTTTATTTCACGGCACTAAAGCAGGAACAGAGAAAGAGCTGTATTTCCAGTATTTACATCCTGTAAGCTAAGCATGATTAGTCTGACACTGGAACAGGAATTTTTGGCATGCATTTCAGTTCAGAAGTACAAAGAGCAAATATCTCAGAGTTGGACAGCTACCTATTTTTGTGGGCTTTTAGAATTTCTGGTTTCAAAATTCAGTCACACAGAAAGAAGGTGCCAAGACACCCGTGAATGAGCCCCAAAACCAGGATTACCATCAATTAACACCTGCAACAGGGGCTGTGATCTTACCCGCATCTGAGAAGAGCTCATCCTCCTCACTCCAACTGTCTTTTGCTTCTTCGCCATATGAGCTGTTCCATCTTCCTTGGAAGGACCTGAAAGCAGGCAAGCATTTACTTTGGCTACTGGCTAGGGAGAATATTTTAGGGGGAGAAGGTGTAGGGCCACCTGGAACGCAGCAGGCAAGCCTGTGGTGAGTGCACAGTGCAGAGAAATGCACCCATAAAGCAATATATAAACATGTCGCCACCTCCTCCACTCCCCTCTGAGGGGATGAATCCTAGGACCCCCTATCTGAAGGTACGGCGTGCAATATATACTCAAATACAAGTGGTGTATTGTGTTTTCTAGCCAGCATTTGCAAAAACAAGTAACTGGGTATTAACCACACAATTAAGCACTTACAGCAGACACACAGAGCTGGACTTCCCAGGCCTTCGTGTATGGCACAGACTTGCCAACAGCTCAGGGGAGAAGCCTTTAGTCTTCCCAAGACGCATTTAATTCTTACTGTTTCACTACTAACACTACTGAGGTGAACCGAGCTACAGAGGCCTCTCCATGAGATCAAGTGCCTCAGTACTGTTACCTGCTTCCAATCCTCACGCACAAACTTCTTAGATGAAGTCTGTGAAGTTGGATTGTTGAGCACCTCTTCCTCGCACATAAAAATTGGAGACCCAGCTACTAACAGACATGCACACGATTAGATTTCCAGATAGATGTCATTAGCTACCATGAGCCAATTAAAGGCTTGAAGACATCCACATGAGCAGCACAGACAATAGATCACTTTCCAAATGAACTGGAAACCAACTTGCACAGTGGTAGGGCTGAAACCTGAGAACTGCTCAAGTCAGCATCAGCCACGCAGCAGCAGCCCCACTCCGGGCTCCTTCCTGATCAGCCCTCACTTTAGGCACCCAGCACAGGATGGAAAAGCATCACACCCAAGTCATTGGGTTTGGCCCCTTCCCAGTGCAGTCAGACATAGCGCTCTGCTCTGGAAGAGTTCAAAAAACATCATCCTATCCCCACAATGTTCCCCAGCACCCTCAAAACAAACTCCAGACACATCCTAGGGACAGCAACGTCAGCTGCAACATACTACTGGAAAAAAGCAGCAGAGATCAAGTGTCACCATTTGCAAGTGCTTGAAAAAGTAGGACATTTATTAATTATATTTCCCAGATGACTCGAGGAAGTAGACAACATGGGGGGGTGGAAATCTCCGACAACTAGCTTGATGAGCAAGACACGCCAGCAAAGCATCTGAGAGATTTCCCCACCATTTGCATTGATGCCAGCTACACTGCAGCACATCTCTACTTGCAGCCACTCTCCTGTGCTTCACTGACAATCCATCTCTCAACAGCCAAGCTACACAGAGCACCGTGATCTTTACTGCCTGCCTTTCAAAACCAAACCTTTGCGTTCTTGATGTTCTTAAGCCAGAACTAAGGGAAATTGTGTTTTATTTACCTTTTCAAAGACATCAAGCGCTCCTCAATCCTCCCAGTTTCACTCCTGGGGATCCAAAACATCATTATTGCTGCTATGCAACTTCACTAAGCAAAAGAAGAGCAACTCAGACATTTAAAGCAGGAAGCTTTGTTACAGCCTTGTTCGGGCCTACAGGAGGTACTCATGAGACTCTTAGCTTAACAGTCTCATATCAGCGTTAATTTAGGCTTCTGCTGGTAAGACTACTTTGCATTTTCTGTGGGAAATCCTTATAAAAAGGAAAAAAACCCTAACATACCGCTACCTCTTCTCGCAGTCATTTCAGCTGCAAGGTAAGTGATAACCCATACTGAAGAAACAGTCAGAGAGCTACAACTAGGAGTTTCTTAACCAACAGAGGTTTCAGGAAAGAAGAGCTTAAGCGAGGTCAGTGTTTTATTTCTCAAGAGGCGGAAAGGCAATTTTAATCTGTTCTACAAGATGCACCTACAAACTCTTTCCAGCTTCAGCAACACTAACCAAAGTGCAGAGAAACACACGCTACCTGTGATACACAGGCTGGAATCACTTACCAATTACTGCAATTACTAATTGCAGTACCTCTGACTCACTGCCAATGGAAGCTGTATCATTTTCTCCTCTCCATTAACCAAACAGTAAAATGTAAAGACAACAGAGCATTTACTTTGCCCAGTTCCACATACCCTGGTGGACAAGGATGGTCAATGTACTCATACTGAATGAAACATACAAGGTTTTTGTTGTTCATACTACCAATGTCAGCTGCAAGCCAAAAGATTGGGTGCAGATTAGAATATAGCACAAGAGATGGGCTTCATACTTGGCAGTTATAGGAGATATAGGCTGGTCATGCACTTTCTGAACAGGTCTGGAAGCAGAAGACACAACTGGCTCCTGGGAAGAGTCTGGGCTCTCACTTGACTCGCTGTACTGGTGGTCTTCCTCCATGACCAGCTTGCTTATGGTCAACAAGCGTTTGCCCTTATGGGACATTTCAGGTGGGTTTGAGATCTCAGAATCTTGATTCTCCTCTTCTTTCCGTCTCTTGGTTCTGTGGGATACAGAAGGAGACAGTTGCTTGGGGAAAGAAAAGTCTGTTTCGTCCAGTTTGGTGAAGAGTGCATCAGAATCCTGGGAGTCCGACAGGATCTTGAAAGCTTCTCTCAGAACAGAAATCCCATACGTGGTTACAGTTCCAGAGGGCTGCCTACAAAATAAACAGAACTGAGAAGGTTGTAAAGATATCACAAAGGTGGCTCCACTTCTCTGAAATCAGGCTTTTCCCCTATGGTGTGACCCTCAACATTTGGCCCTAGGGTGAAAATAAAGTCTAATGAAAAGGGCATTCCCAACCCTTTGGTCCACCCTTCTTCTAAACGGTGTGGTGTACCAGGGAAGCAGGTCGTGAGAGAGCACACCCATACTCCATGTGCCACTGGACACCTTGCTCTTCTCGACTAAGGGCTGAACCATATGGATATCAAAAGCTGCTCCACAAGAGTAAACCTGGCCGCCACTGGCCTCCCTCCCTAGTTTACAGAAGTATTACATATATTCAGAAAAAAACCAAACCACCTTAACATTTTTACTGTGATCCAGACAGAAGTCTTACACTGACAGCCTTTGCAGCTCGCTTGGGCAGACCTGCTTGGGCTGACACTCGGGGAAGTTAAGAGCTGCCTAGACAGAGTAAACTACCCCTTCAGAAGAGAACTGTTTCCACACTTCATCTACAACACAGGCCCAGATTCCTCTGCCCACCTTTCTGAGTCCCTGAAGGACACTCCTGGAAGTTCTGGAGCTGCTCCTGCTGGTTCTTTGGATATTTCCATAGGCTCTGAATGATCTTCCAAGGTATTAACTGCTGCTATTATATGCTCAGGAGTTGCTGGTGGGTCAGTAGCTCCTTCCATAGGCTCAGGAGCTGCTGCAGAGTCACTAGATCCTTCCATAGGCTCGGGAGCTGCAAGGTCTTCTCCTCTTTCTGCAGGGTTGGAAGCTCCCTCCAGATCTTTTGCTGTTTCTGCAGGCTCTGGAGAGGGAGAGCGGTTTTCCCTTCCCGAGGGCTCCAGAGCTGCTGCCTGGTCCTTTGGCCAATTTGCAGACTTTGGAGCCACCGATGAGTATTTTGGTTCTTTGGCATGTTCTGAATTCAAAGTCTTTTTTATTATCTTGGAGAGAGAAAGAGCATGTAACCATTATAAAGATGATTCCCTGTACTACCATCCAATTTTATCCCCTCCCAAAGGCATTTTAAGCTTCTACTTGCAGTCCAATAGGCATCATGTACAGAGTTCACGTCTATCAATTAAAACTTGTTACACGGATTGAAAAATGTGTTCAACTGTCTAAACTTTTTAGGAACGGACTGATTTTAAAGTCTTTTGGATTTAACCCACTGTTAATTAGGTGCCCAAGCCCTAACTCATTACTGGCACAGAAGGCACACAGAAGCCAAACCACTGTATTTCATTGCCACATAGCAAAGTAAGTGCCAGTTCTCCTGCTGCCCCACGCTGGGGCAGGAGCAAGTGCAGGACGGGAAGCCAGGTAAGCAGGGCAGACATGTACCGTTAGCAGCAGTGGCTCCGAATCGTCCATATAGGTCTTCACAAACTGAAACATGTTCTGCTGGAAGTTCTTGTAAGAAAAGTTTTTGACCATCGGATGAGTCAAATTCTTCTCCCGGATGACAGTAAGCAACTCGTTCCTCTTTTTCTAGAGGAGAGGTAAGAATGCTCTGAATAGGTACAAGGGTATAAAAGACAACTGCAGGAGCTAGGATCTTCATGAGGATTGGGCCCTTCCTATTTGACATTCTTCAGGCACGAGTAATTTACACTGACATAAGGCTGGGAAAAGCCTGGCGGAATGGGAGAACCATCTTGTTTCAGCAACTCTGACTTGCTGCTTCCAGTGCCCAAGACACCATACTGCCTACAGAAATCAGAACAGGGACTCTCTCTGCTTTCAGAACCAGCCCTTCTTACGAACTTGTGTTCTACAAGTGAGCTTGAGTTTACCTCAAAGAGAAAGATGAATGTTGATGCCTGGAAGACTCATGAAGATACATGATGGAATATGAGTAACAGAGAGAGCTCCAAAGCGATGATCAACATGTTTTAGAAATGCGTAATACTGAGGGTCCACCATTCAGGGAGGACTCTTTCCATTTCATCACCCCTACCCTGTTTTGTTCAGATTTCCCAAAAAGGCACGCTTCTCAGGAAAACCTTTTATGCCTGTGATATGGGTCACGAGTGCCCTCCACTCCACCAATACCCTGTAAGACATCTCAGACCACCTCCAAATATCCCTGCTCCCCAGTACCCTGTAAGACATATGGCACAGTCCTCAAACAGCCATCGTTCATTCCAGCACAGACTCACCTGGCTTTTGGGTTCCTTCCCCATATGTCTCTTTACAATTTTTGAAGCTTTATCAAACTCTCTGTTTTTGATGCAGACAATAACAGCCTACAGAAGAAAACAAATACCAGTTTCTCAGTTGACGTCAAATTGATCGTACTCTAAATTAGTTTTGGAAAAGCACAGCACACAATTAACAGCTTACTAACAACTTACAGAGAGAAACAACTTCTACATTAACTGATGAAGCAGCGCATACACTGAAGATACGCATTTGCAGCCAAGTCAGTACTACTGTGGTATTCTACACGTGAGACAATTCCCACTGTCATTTACGCAAGACCTTTCTAAGGCAAAAGATGAGCAGAGCATTTACTGAGAAAGAAAAAGGTCTTACAGCTTCCTTCACCATTTTCTGAATAGTTTCCATTGTCTTCTCAGCCACAGAGAATTCTTTCTGAACGAGCTCCAGGACACCAATTGCCGATTCAAGAGGGGTGAGCTCTGAATCTTTATCAAAGGTGCAATCTAAAAGAATTCACAGGCATTGGTTTGTGAGGTGTTCACGGTGATGCCTTACAGACAGCTAGTTACTTGCTCAGTTTCGACTGCAAATTCTAGTGCTACTGAGGATGAAGACGGGAGGGAATGGCAGGCTGACTGCAAACTGTCTAAACTGAAAGATCCTCCACCCCCACGTGCAAAGCTAGAGGTCCCACCTGAATACCAATAACTGATCTAGAGGGAGCATTTCAGAAGCTATGAGGGGTGCGTTCAGATAGCAGGTCAGTGCTGGAGCTTGGGTTTGAGTACACAGCTCTTGGCTAGGTACAACAGCCTCTCACTTGCTACAGCAACACAACGCAGACAGGAGCAGCCACGCTCTCTGGCCCCTCACCCTCTGGAGAAAGCTCCTACAACTTAACAGCTTCATCCCAGACCTCTGCTCTGCGCAGAAACACAGCTCCTGGGAGCTGCAGGGACACAGCCACAGAACAGGGCGCTCTCCAGCTGGGGGAGTGGGCTGCAAACCAAGACTGGTGTCTCCCTAGGGCCTTGCTGGGAGGGCTGGGGACCTACCGAGGTTCTCGCCTTCCTCAATCTGTGACAGGAGTTGCATTATGCGCAGCATCTGGGCCACCGTGGTCTCCTTCTCCAGGGGCCGCACAAGCAGCGCTGTGGGACAAGGGGCAGGTTACACTGGTACAGCACGACCCGGCCCAGGCCCAGCCTCCGCCACCCCCGGCTCCCCCTGCCTCCAGCCCGGGCCTGCCCCTTCCCAACCGCCCCCCCGCCTTTCCCCCACGGTCTGTCCCCGCTCCCCTCTCGGCCCGTCCGCCGCCGGGACTCCCCCGGGCCGGGCCCGCGCGGCCCACCCTGCATGACGTCACGGAGCTGGCGGAAGTCGCGATTCCTCCGGAGCGATAGGCCGCCATGGCCTGGTGGAAGTAGAACTGCAGGACGCAGCGGTTCACCGCCTCCTCGGGGACGCCGCCCCGCGCAGCCATCGCCTCTCGCCGGGCCGCCCGCCCCCGCTTCCCCCCCATCCCGCCGGGAACTGATGTACGGCTCGGGCGGAAGTGACGATCACGCCGTGCCGTCGTCCCGCCCCCGGAGCCGTGTTACCTAGCAGGCGCCTACAGCTCCCGGCGTGCCCCGCGGCGCTCTGGCGCCCTCTGCCGGGCGAGCGGCGCACCGTAGGACAGGTTACAAAACGCGGTCCCCGTCGCAGCGTGTCGGGGCAGAGATTTTGCCGTGATTACTCAGACTTTGCGTCACGAACCAGAAGCCCCGGGCGATCCCAGCGATCCAGGGCCAGGGAGGCTGGTTTAGGCGAAGGCCAAGCAGATCCTGCAGGTGACGGACGGGGTGGTTCTCTGCGGCTCCGGCATCCCTCTGTCTCGCTGGGCACATCGCTGGCACCGCTCCGGAGGCTCTCTCACCTGAGGTGGAAAAGCACGTGAAAATTCCTCTTGCGTGAGGTTATCCGGGATACTCCCTTCCCTCCACTCCTGGCCAGCAGAGAAGGAAACACACGTGAGAAAAATCCGTGTGTCAAATGGAAAACAGTAAAACTGGGTGGGATTTTTTTCTTTTTTTTAATTGGCAAACAAAGGGAGATAAAAAATAATCTGTGCGAGAAGGAAGGGTGGCTGTTCAGCCCGGGCAGCGTGACTGCCTGGGGGAGCGCAAGCGCAGAAAGGGAGCCGTGCGAGTGGGACGCGCTATGACTGTGTCCTACGACCAGCGAGTCACTGCCCCTAAATGTTAGGAAGGATGCAGGGAGAGATACCGACAACGGCTGTTTCCCTGGCTGAGAGGAGACGACACAGCGACACGCTTTGGTTAAAATCCTTTTCCGTATGAAATATTCACGAGCAAAATGGTTTTGCTCTTTTTCTGTCACAAGATACAAGAACAGGTGACAGGGCTGGGACCCCTGAATTTCACCATTCTCCTCCTCAGTCCAGGAGGGGCCAAACAGCCCCAGCAACAACCTAAAACCATCTGTCCTTCCGGCCTTTCGAACTGCTCTCCTGACTAGAAAACTCCTTGCTTTCTGAAAAGCTCAGCAGCTTCTGCACCTTTCTAAGCTACACAGTTGGAATCCAACTAGATGCACCAGCCCCTGTGGCAGATCCCACCAACTCAGTACAGGTTTTAGGATTTTGAGCCATTTCATTTATTTCCTCTCAAAGGTCAGAAAAAAAAGAGTCCCTGGAGTCCTCTCCCAAGGGAAACAAAGCAAGCTTGCTCTCTGAGATGCCCGGACAAAGCCATTCAGGGGCTAGCTGCCTTCTCCAAGCCAGGCTTCGCTCAGGAAAAGCGGCAGAACTGTTGCTCACCAGGTCCACCACCTCAGCCTCCTGCTTCTGCTGCAGGACTCCTTCCTCTGCCTCCTGCCCTTGTCCCTCCAGGGCTGCCATTGCCTCCTCCTCCTGCCCACCAGCATCTCCCCAGTAAAGGGGTCGTCCCTTCAGATCTCCCAGCAGGGCCGCTCGGTAGATTACTTCCCACCCCATCAGATGGAACTGCTCCAGGTTAGAACAGATTGATGAGATTTCTGCAGTTCCTGGGAGGGTTTGGACAGCAGCAGCTGAAGGAGCCGTAGCATGGTGACGCTGACAGATGTCAGAGAGCGGTAATCACCACGGCAGAGCCTTGGGGCAGCTGAGAAGGTGCTAATCTCCCCAGGCACTGCAGGAGCCAGGAGAGGGCATGTGACAGGGGCTGCAGCCTTGGCATCTCAATCAAGGCTCCCTTCCCACCCGGTTTCACGGCCTGTCCAGGCCCAAATACATGTTAACAGCACCCAGCGCTGGGAAATGAGCCTGAAATTGCGTTTTCCAGAGTAAATACAGAAATACAAACCATTGTTTTACTCTCTGAATCTACTACAATGAATGAAAAGGAAGCAGGGATTATGGAAGCAGGCAGGGGACCTGGAATGCAAGTGGCCTCGCTGTCCACTTTCACCGAATCATTGCCTGGTGTCATCATCAATTTTTTCAGGAAAAAGTTTAGTGTTCCATGTGCCAAAAGAAACACTGGGCAGGAAGGCACAAATTACAGTCATGTTTGTGCTTTTTAGTCTTAACTCGTTGATTTATGCATTTTGATGAAGTGATTACAGATGAAAGAAAACATTCCAGGGAACAAGATCTGCACGTTGCTGCGGTCTCGTGTCTGTCTTTTTGTATGAGTTACACTGGAAAAGAAAACAGGAAAAAATCACCAGGGCCACCTGGTCACCACACACTCCTTTCTCTTCTCTGTCATAGAGCACTGGCTGCATGTGCAGTGCTGCACCAAGCAGAAGACAGTACCTGCCCAAAAGGGCTTGCTCTCTGGGCAGACATGCGACAGATTTCTGACTTCTGTTTGGACTTGATAGTGGTAAGGAAGAGCAGCAATTGAATTCTGTTGCTCAATAAATAAATATAGAACTCATTTGTTACCATGCTCATTCTTTGTGTTGCTAATGTGCCTAGAAAGCCTGGTCATGGACCAGGATGCCACCATGCTACGCACAACTGCAAAACAGATACGGCACCAAGCAGTCTTAGAAAGGCAGTAGACAGCCAAGGAAAAAGAGGCAGCAATGAAACAGTTGTCACTGTGGAAAAGGGAAATGTTGAGAAGAATGATGCGACTGCTCTGCAAAATATACAGAGAGACCCCCAAGCATGAGAACTGCAGAGGAGAAAGCACAAAGCATCTGAAAATGCCTCAAGTAGATTACAGAAACTGATGCTGTGAACTAATTTGAGGCAAAAGTAAGTACTTCATATAGAAATTGAGACAGGCAGGAATGTGCTGGAGAGGATCTAGAAAAACAGACACAGTTTTTGATGCAACCAAGGAATGGGGCCAGCAGAAGCGTGCCAAGAGATGGGTAGCCTGGTCAAAGTGAGAGGGTAGAATGATCTTTACAGGAGCACTTTGTGTGCCACGATACATGACTGCACTTGTCAAGGCCAGGCAGAAGGATGTTGTGGCAACAGGGGTGCACGATGATGAAATCCTACATTAGTTTACGGTACGTAGCCTGGCTGGGGAGATTTTCCCTCTTGGCAAGGTTACACAGTAAGGGAACTGCAAGGTCGTATGTCACATCAGTGCAAGGAGCTAGAAATGCTTCCATGTCAGAGAGGATACTTGGGTTACACACTGAATCAGGGAAGCATCCCTAATGACTGGGAAAAGATATACAGAAAGGATCAAAAGAAGAAGAATAAGCTCAGTATTTAAATTATGTTGAGCCTGAGCTATTCATTAGATAACTGTGAAGAAGTTTCAGAACAGGCAAAGACTTTAACAATGTACAAATATCTGGTTAAGTAAATGTATGGATTTGTCCAAATAGAGAAGATACCCAAATTTGCATTTACAGATGAAGTATCTGTATTGCTCTGAAACAGCGGGAGAGGAAACCATGAGGTCTGCACCCTCCAGCCTGTAACACAGCTACCAAAGCTTCCTCAGGAGGCCAAGGATTTGAACAACAGTGCAACCTTAGCAGCTGCTTTGCATAGCCCTAGCACGTACAGACAGAGTGCTGGTTCTGACACTTGGCTTGGAAGAAGTCACTGCAGACTTTATTGAGCAATGGTGGGAAGCGGGTGTATATTTAAAGGAGTACTCTGAGTGTGCATGCTAGCATAGATGAAAGCACTGAGAGACGGAAAAATATTCTAGCTTTATGGCTCTCAATAGGTGTCAAAAAGTAACATAGAGCTTAATTTAGAAGGTGGCCGTGTAAAAGCCTACAATTCACCAGAGCAATACAGCAAAAGGAGCACGTGCAACCACATGCTGCGCTACCTACCAGGCTTTCAGAGAAGCAGAAACTCCTGTGTGCTGTGCCAGCAGAGTATGATTAAGAATTCTGATGAAAGACTACAAGCTCGCTGGGAAGCACAAGGCACTAAATGCACTTACGAAGACAAACAGTCTCTTATACAGCTATGAGAACCCAGCCTCTGAAGGTACCAGGGAACAACAGCCTGCGTGAGGAAAACTCACCACCAAAAGGTACTAAAGGATGTGAAATGTTTGGTAAAGTTCAACTATTGCTGTGGTATGTCCAGATTTATAACTTCCTTCCTAAGACAGAGAACACACTGACAGCGGGAGATGGATTTGAATCCTGCACAAATTAGACTGATCTGACTTGACTGTGCTCTCTCCCTGCACTTTATTCTTTACCTAGTACAGTGGCTTTATTTCCTTACTACTTCTTTGACTGCACCTCCATCCCCAGTTCCTTGTACAGAACCAGCAGAACAAGGCCAGGATAAGCCAGTGTATGAAAAACAGCTGCTGTGCCAGGTCTCAGCCCAGAATTTCAGCCATTTGTAAAGACTGTGCATTACAACTGTAATTGGATTAGAGACTGTGGTTGGCAGACACCACTGGAACAATTTCTTTCTCTCCAGTAATAAGACACCCTTCTTTCTTACCAGAGAGTGACCTAGAAGATTTGCTTGGCGTACAACCTGGGATCTTCAAGGAGCTAACCTGTCTTTGTACTGAAGTGGATGTGGACAGATAGCACAGTTAGTTACCACGACATCTTTGAGCTGATAAATCTCCCAGACTGTACCATTAGGTACGTCTCATTCCCACAGAGACCCCAGCTTAGCGACAAGCCAGGTATGGCTACCTACTTCACTTGAGCTCCTTTTAAAATCCCAACTGTAGCAAACGGCACAGATGTTAGCCTGCTCAAATTCCCTCTGCATATACCTTTAATCTTTAGCCAGTGGTGGTAACAGTATTAGCACTTCTTACAACATCAGGCATTTCTGCCTCCTCAGCAGTTACGTTAAAACAAACAGTCCGCTGTCCAGCGTTATACCTGCACTGCAAGTATAAGGAAATAAATTCCACAGCCACAAATACAAGTTCATAAATGAAAACCATCAGGTTTACAAATTACTCAGGTTCCTGAGCTCCCAGTCTCTCTGTCCCTAAACCTGTTCAATGTGGCTGGCAGGGAAAACTTACCAAGTCACTCACTTCAGATCTGCACATGAACACTTTCCTTTAGAAACCGATACAAATGCAGCACTCTGAAGACATTAGAGCGCTGGCTCAATTTAAAGATCTGCGAGATAGCCACCTATTTCACACACAGGCAAAAAGAATCAAAACAAAAGGAGCAGTAAAAAAGCTGTTCCGGCTGGCAGTGGAATCAAAAGCCCACCAAAGGAGCACTACAGCTCAACCAAAGGACCTTGACAAGCAATTCCTGCCGGCATACATCCCATACACTTTCCTCAGAAACAGCCGCTACCTGTGACCCACTGCCGATGGCTGCCATTACTCATTCCACAGCACCGCACAGTCCTTCCAACCGTGTTTGCCACCAGAGACAGCCCTGAGGCGGCCTGTCACAGACATCTGCTGCAGCTCTGACTGTGGGCAGTGAGATGAGTTCGGACGGTCCCTGACAGGAACAGGCGCTTCCCAGGAGATCCCGGTTTCCACAGAAGTATTTCCCTTCACCCACCCAACAGGTGGAGTTACCAGAGGCCAGGGACGGACACCTCCGCGGGCAGGCTGCTGACGGGCACCTCGCTCTCCAGCGGCCCGGGTGGGATGGGGTGAGGAGGCATAACAGCCGAC